TGTTTTGCATTAGTTTAAGCAATCTTAAATAATGAAATGTAAACAAAATTTAGTTAAATATAAACTGTCAATCTTGTCGGTTGTATTTACTTCAGTTGGCGACGAGGATAAAAATCTGCAATTATTCAATCGCTTTCACGCTTATTTCGTACCGTTCAATTTTACATACAATCATGCCGGGCGAAAGTGAAATTTATAAGCAATTGCTTAAAGAACAACAAGAGTTCTCAAAAAATTTACTGAAACAACAACGTGAGTGGATGGACTCAATGTTCCAAAAACAAGGTACTGCCGGTGTATCTGAAAGAAATCACAACATTGTTCCAGTATTTCACAAATTTTCGAAAGAACAGCAAACCTGGGAATCGTACTTAGAACAACTTAACCAACATTTTTTAGCATATTCAGTTCAGTGCAGTGAAAAACAAAAATCATTTTTCTTGTCTTGGATTGGCACAGAAAATTTTGAGCTGCTAAAAAATCTTTTCGGTAACACGAAAGTACAAGAACAATCTTTCGAAAATTTAACGGAAAAACTTACGGATCATTTCCAGTCGAAACGACATGTGGTCGCTGCACGTTACGATTTTTTCAAAAGGGAAATGAAGCCACATCAATCATATAGAGAGTGGGTAGCCGATCTCCGCGGATTGGCAAGACAGTGTAACTTTTCGTGCTCAGCCCAGAATTGTTTACACAATTTCGTGGATGATATGATTCGTGACCAAATTATTATACGTACACCTCACGATGCTGTGCGCACGGCTGCGTTCCAAAAGCCCCAGCCAACACTTGCTGATGTTTTACAGATTGCAGAATTGTACGAAACAACCACTAAAACGGTGGCAACAATTAAAGAACAAACGATCGAAAACTCAATGCCTGTTAATTCAGTTGGTACAATTATAAAAAAACCGGGTGTTTTCAACAATAACAATAATAAAGTAAAATTCAAATCATGTTCTGGCTGTGGAAACTCTCATGCAAGAGAAAACTGTAAATTTAGAAATGCTGTATGCAATAGATGTAGCAAAATTGGACATATTGCGCCAGTGTGCATGTCAAAACAAAACAAGAACTACAAACGTAATTCAGGTGATGAAAACAAGAAGAAAGATTACCGTCGTAAAAGTCACAACATTGGTACTGTTGAAACAATTAACAGTTTAACAGGTATTGTAAAAACTGAAAGCAATAAGAATTACATTGACTTGGAAATTTGTAATAAAATTGTGTCTTTCCAAATGGATTCTGGTGCAACAGTTTCTCTAATAAATAAGCGAACATTCAAAACTCTAAATTGCCCAAAGTTGCGGAATTGTACAAAAACCTTATTTGGTTTTGGCAAAAATGAAATTCCAGTGCTTGGTGAACTTTGCGTAGATATCAAATGTGGCGGAAAAGAAAGGGAAGTGGTAATCGTTGTCGTGGATGTCGAAAACTGTAACAATTTATTCGGTTTCGATTTATTCAAAGAATTCGGGTTTGAGATTCAACAAATTTGTAACATTACTGAAAGTGAATCACACAGAATTAGCGAGCTGTGTAAGAAATATGGTGATATTTTTGAACCAGCTCTTGGCACAATAAAAAACTTTAAGGTCAGTATTTTTTTTAAAGCCAAATGCACATCCGAAATTTTACAAAAGCCGACAAATTCCATTTTCGCAAATGTCACTTTTCAAGAAAGTCGATCGATTGACAAATGCGGGTATTTGGAAACCTGTGAAGTTTTCCCAATGGGCTTCGCCTATTGTACTAGCGCCAAAAGCTGATGGTTCCATAAGAATTTGTGGGGATTTTAAACAAGCAGTCAATGCGCAAATTGACATTGAACAATATCCTTTGCCCATACGCGAAAGTCTTTTCCATAAAATTAATTGCGGTCAACATTTTACAAAAATCGACCTTAAGGATGCGTATTTACAAATGGAACTCGACGATGAAGCAAAAACAATAATGGTTGTCAACACTCCACTTGGGTTATTCCAATACCAACGTTTACCGTTTGGAATTGCAAGCGCTCCAGCTATATTCCAAAGATATCTTGAGCAGTTACTTCAAGGCGTAGAAGGTTGCGGTAATTATCTCGATGACATCATCATCTCCGCACCTACATTCCAACAACACATCAGCCGCCTAGAACAAGTACTTCGTATTTTGCAACAAAATGGTATCAGGTGCAAGCAAGAAAAATGTTTCTTTCTGCGAGATAAAATCGAATATCTCGGGCGTCAAATTAGTGCAAAAGGTATATTGCCAGATGAGTCAGGACTAAAAGCAGTCAAAAACCTGCAGCCGCCTAAAGATCTAAAGCAAGCAGAAGCATTCATGGGTAAGGTAAACTACTACCATAATTTTATACCTAATTTTTCGCAATTATCCGCGCCAATCAACATGCTGCGCCGAAAAAATGTTAAATTCACATGGGGTACAGCACAACAACAAGCATTTATAGCTCTTAAAACGCATATTCTCAATGCAGCGCAATTAGCACATTATCAGGAAGATTTACCGTTGGTTCTAGCTACAGATGCCTCCTCCTATGGCATAGGAGTCGTGCTCTCGCATACGTACGTTGACGGTACAGAAAGGCCTATTGCTTTTGCATCTAAAACTCTCGACATTCATCAACGACGATATAGTCAGATAGAGAAGGAAGGACTAGCTATCGTTTTTGGAGTCAAGCGTTTCCATCAATATTTATACGGAAGAAGATTCACCTTGGTTACTGACCACAAACCTCTTGTTAGCATTTTTAATCCAATTCAGCAGTTGCCGTCGATGACGTCACATCGTTTACAGCGATGGGCTATTATACTAATGGCTTATCAGTATGATGTTCGGTATCGTAAAACTACTGAGCATGGAAATGCCGATGCTTTATCTCGTTTACCTGTTGGTGAAGATAAAACTTTTGATCATGAGGAATCCTGTTTCAACATCAATGAACTTAACACACCTATCGACGCTGAAATAATTCGTCAGCATGCCAAAAATGACCCAATTCTTCGCCGAGTTTATTTTCTCGTTACAAACGGTTGGCCTGAAAAGCTAATGCCTCAAGATGCTGATCTTCGATCATTTTTCAATCATCGCTTTGCTTTAATACTACACAATAATTTGCTTTGCCTCCAGACGGAGTACAACCGGGTTGTCATTCCAGCCTCCCTTAAGCAGAAAGTTCTTAAACTTCTTCATGATGGTCATTGGGGAGTATCGAGAATGAAACAGCTAGCTCGACAACATGTCTGGTGGACTAATATTGACAAAAACATCGCACAATTAACTGAAAATTGTGATGTGTGCAAAATTGCAAATCCTGTTCACGCACGTGAATACTTAAGCTGGCCTGAAGCTGATCGACCTTGGGAGAGAGTACATATCGACTTTGCTGGTCCATTTTGTAATTCAATGTGGCTAATTTGTGTCGACGCTTTCTCGCAATTTCCGTTCGTTGTACAACTATCTACAACAACAACGGTTGACACTATATCAGCATTGTCTTCTATATTTTCTCTGGAAGGTTTACCAGAAACCATCGTAAGTGACAATGGTCCGCAATTTACAGCTGAAGCATTCAAACATTTTTGCTCAAAACTTGGCATCAAACATATAACAACAGCGCCGTTTCACCCAGCCTCAAACGGGTTAGCCGAACGATTCGTCAGATCTTTTAAAACTGCTGTTCAGAAAAACATTGACGATGGATTGTCTCTCAAATTCGCTGTATCAAAATATCTTGCAACATATCGTGCAATGCCGAATGCTGAGGGTAAATCACCTGCAGAACTTTTACATGGAAGGCCTGTTCGTACCTTGTTGAGTCAACTGTTTGAATCGCCTAGGAAGCACCTTGAAGCTTCGAAACGGAAAATGAAATTCAGTCTAAAGCAACCCGTCTTCGCTCGAAACTACGCAAGAGGGGAAAAATGGATAAAAGGAGTTATTGTGAAACAACTTGGTAAAATGGTTTACCGAGTGAACACATCTTTTGGTTACATCAAACGTCACGTTAATCAGCTTAAAACTAGAAGTAGCTTTGACCTGTCTTCACAACCAATTTTTGAATTCACTCCAAATTTCATCAATGCCACACCGCCTTCATCTAGCCAATCAACATTAATGCCTAGTGAAGAACGTTCTACCGAAGTAGTTCAACTTCGAAAAAGTGGTCGTATTCGGAAGGTTGTTAATCGATTTGAATCCGACGATTTCAGGAAAACTTGAACTTTGTCAAAAATTAAGGGCGGAGAAAGTGTTATAATCTAGTATGTTTTGCATTAGTTTAAGCAATCTTAAATAATGAAATGTAAACAAAATTTAGTTAAATATAAACTGTCAATCTTGTCGGTTGTATTTACTTCAAACTGTATCGATCGATTTGTATGATATTAAGTCGCCTGGCAATGTCTGTTTTATCTTGAAGTTTAATTCATCAACGTCCACGTTTTTTTTGCTGCTAATGGCTCTTTCTGCCAGCCACCCATGATTTATGTATTGTATGTGTACATCTGGAAATACGCGGTCAATGAGAGCATTTTGGGAATCAACGATAGTGCAGAAATTAGGGGGCAGTTTTATGAATTCAGTATTTTCATAGACAACAACTTTTCATATCATAGCAAGTTTTCTTTTTCAAAAATATAAAAAAATTTATGTCAAAAAAATAAAAAAATTTTTGTTAAAGCAATAAAGATATTTTTGCTGGATAGGGACACCCTAATCACTTTAGCGGTATGAAAAATAGATAGTAGCCGATTCCCAGACCTACTGAATACGCATATAAAATTTGGTAAAAATCGGTAAAGCCGTTTCGGAGGAGTACGGTAACTAACATTTTGACAATGTTAATTTTATATATAAGATATATATATATATATATAATATATAATTCATGTTTCGATATTAATGTATTTTATAATTGTTTCTTTGTGATATGTACTAAAATATTGTTACATTGTATTAAAGTTTCAGCAGATGATTGTAGCCCGATATCGAAGTCAAAATATCGGTTAAAATAAAATCTTTTAACAACAAATAAAAATTATTTTAAAAAGTTTATAATTTAACTATTAACCAATTAGCCCGTAAAAAAACAAAATTGTTATTGAGAAATCAGGAAATTTGAATTTTTTATTTTTTAAGTAATTATTTATTTGATTATAAATGATCGCATTTTTCAATAATTGAAGCTTTTTTAATTTTCTTTTCTTTAATTTGTTTGTTTAAAATTTAAGTATTTATTAAGTAGAATTTCTTCAAGTGTAGGGATTTTAGTTCGATTAAATTATTTACGTCAAGTTGATTTAAAAACATTAATTATTGATTCTTCTGTGGCTTATATAGAAATTATTTTAACAGATATTACAAATTCAAGGAATTGTTGACTTTGCGATAGATATAGATCATCTATCTGGATATATAGCTGCTTGTCCTACTTTAAATTTATGAGGGGAAATTTCATTAATAAATAGAATCGTTAATTGATCTTGATATTGAATAACTTGTTAATCATTATTATTACTCGTCTATAGAGCTACACCATATACCATATACATATAATCTTACAGTCAATATGAAAAAATTCATTCAGAAATTTATTCATTTAGAATGAGAAACATTCGTGAATTTATAATGTTAATTATACATTGATTTTCTTTGAAGTTGTTAATAATAAAAAGTGAAATAATTTATTAAATAATTTATTATATTAAAACGTTGATTTGTGGTGTCTAATATAAAATATATTATTTTATATTGAAAAATATGTATCATTGTGTAAAATAAGATTTTGATTATTAATTAGAATGAGTATAATTTTAGTTTTTTTTTAGGATTCTTATTCATTAATGAAAATTATTTTTGTTTTCTAGTGTGAGAATTAATTTTTTTAAATACAACCAAAATTATACTAGCATTTTTAATTGATTGAACTAAATGAGTCTTTATATCTCTTGTTTTATCAATTTCTTCTTTAATAATTTATTATAGAAAAAAAAATATAATTATTTATAATTATATAATTATTTATTAATAAATATTAATAAATAAATGAATGCTGTAATAACTTCGTGAAAAATCCTAAATCAAGATCGAATAAAAAACTTTTTCCAATTAGAAAAAAGGAAGGAAATAATAAAAATCCTTCAGTTGCTGGCATATTTGATAATCGCTTAAATTTGTCTCTTATATTAAACAATTAACTGTGAAAATTATACAGAAGTAGTAATCGGAGAACTCAACATAGATAGTGTTGATAATACTTTCGAAGAAGGGGCCATAGAAGAACGTACTGAGTATGAAAATATCAATGCTGACTAATTAATTCCATAAAGGAATACGTATTTGATAATTTTAATGTAACATAAATCTAATAGTAATATAATCTAATAGAAATATAGATTACTATTTAATTAGCACTAAGTCTTTGGCAATTTGACTTATGTAAAACGTATTGTAAAATATAACAACACTGCTTGATTGTTTTCTGAAACATGTATTTATATGAGGTCTGTTCCACAAGCTACTCGTAATAACTTTGAGTAACACTGTATATACACAAGTGCGTACTACCAGCAAATTTACGAGTAAATGAGAGCATCTGATAGAGCGTAACATCCCTGTCGAAATTTGAAAATGCTACACAGGCTTTACTCGTACATTTTATTTCAAGTAAAAATAGACCTATTATTGTACGTATTGTGTTAAAAAAAAAATTATCACAAATTCAAAAGAAAATTTAAAATGTTAACTTTCAATTGTTAAAACAGTCATTCTACACTTATAAATTAAATTAACCCATTTTTTTTACTTTTAAAGAGTTTCTTATTTGAACGGAATGTGCAAATTCTATCATTTAAGCATTTTGTCAGGTTTTGCCAAAACTGAGACAATGAAGTATTTCCTTTGAAAAATATACTTAAAGGCTGAAGGCTTTTTCCTTGTACGACCAGACATTTACCAGGACATAAATCCATTGTAAAGAGAACTTTTTGTAGTAGTGAAGGAGCCTAAAGAACAATAAGGTCGCCAAATTAAATAATTTAACTTTTACGCCATTGAATTAGCCTATTTAAAATTGAATTCACATCATAAAGGCATTATTTGAGTAATAGAAAATGAATAACAGAAACAATTAACAAAACTTTTAGAAGAAAGCACAAATCCTTTATTTGTGAGCAGCAACAAACTTTTTACTTTAGCGAAATGAAAGCTTTTAAGTTCAAAATCATTCATAGAGTTATTTATTGTTTAATATACTCAACAGTAATTGAAATGAAATCCGCCTCTGTTTTATGAAAAAAATATTCAAAAACCGTTTAATATTTGTTGAAATACTCGTATTACTCGCAACACTCAACGATTACTCATTTAATTATCACCGATAAACTGTAGTTTGCACATAGATAAGCAGGAAGCTAATCATGGCTGTCGAGTTCCGAAGTTAGCAGTTGACACTCTAAGGGCTAATTGGACTATTACAATACCAGATGGTCCTAATAGCACACCTAAAACATCATGTATCGTGCAACCATTGTTTCAGAATAGCATTAGACGGAAACGGAATTGGTGTTTGTAAGTTTGCTCTTCCTCTATATTATCACAATAATTAGAAATAATAATAATAAGAAATGCACGGAATACGCATACTTGGGATGTGTCGATAAATGAGATAGTCTCAGTTATAAGAATTTAAATAAAAGAAGCACAAATTTACTTCATTTGGGTAAGTTTTGCTGCCCATTTGATTATTTAATCACGTATTATTAATACGTCAATATAGAATTTGATTGAGGTATTTTTTCCAATCATATCTCATGGTATAGTTGTTCCATTGTTTTTACTTTTGACATACAATAGTTGTTACTTAAAGGAATATGTTTCTTTCCATTAACTATCGTACAATGTCACAAGTAATAACGGAGCTTCCTTTTACATATTATCTATCTCCTAACATACTACGAATTTGCAATTTTGATGTTTTTCCTTTAAACATAAATATAATAATAATATATAATATATAAATAAAGTATAATTTTAAAACATGAAATTATAAAAAACTTGCGATATGTATTAACTGCACACACTAAACACAGTTCAAGTGTGACTAATTACGTATGTTAATAAACAAGTCTGTGTTCAAGTGTGAATGAGTTCCATGTTTGGAACTTACCTATTTACTTAATTAACCATAACAACTTGTTATCGGCTTTTGGCGTAATGCAACTCTATTTTCCAGTCTCGTACGAGTACAACAAGCGTGGTTAATGCTGCCTCAGCTGCAACACTCCACCGAAGACATGCATTTTACACCTATGCTTTCTTTCTTCGACTGCCGCTTCAATCAATTTCTTTATTGGAGCCACTGGATGTTAAATCGCTGAATTATTATATATCCATGTCGTGTAAAAGCTCGGACAGCTCGTGGTTCATTTAGATGCACTAGTCGTTGCCAACTTCTAAAAGACCAAGGGTATAATATAAAATTTTTTTTTCGAAAATCCCAGTACAGCTTCATAATTCTGTGATAGCGCACTGTTCTGTTTCATACTGAAGCATAGTTAGGATGGAAATTATGAATTATTTTTATAGATAAATAATCATTGGTTCAACTATATATGACTTTTTAAAGATTTTTTAATTGTTTTATATTTTATATAAATTTTCATGAGAGAGAAAAAAGTTGAACATCAGAAATTATTTTTAATCAATAAAAATAATTACTTCAATTAATTAATAATTATTTGATTTTGTTATTTAATGAATTCATACTAGTAATGTTTCGATTTTTATATTTTCGTTAAAAATTTTGAAAAAGTTGGAAATTAAAAATTTTTTTTAATGATTAAAAATCATTGGTTGAATTATTTAATTTGAGTTTATCTATTTGTGTGTCCACACCTAAAGTTATCTGTATTGCCTAAAGACAATACCTGGACACGGTGAGGACTAGTCAGACTAGTCCTACAGACTATAATCTATCTAATGCTCCACATTACCCCCTATGCGGATAGAGCTTCAGGTTGATATTAAATTTTATTATTTTATAAAATTATATTAATATATTATAATAATAGTAATAAATATAAATAAAAATAATAATAATAAATTTATAAAAAATTCAATTAACATTAATTTCGCCAGTCGCTCTTATAATAAAAGTCGTGACATATGGATATACTGAAATATTTCTCGGCCGAGAGCAAGCTCTACATGCAAATTGTCTATTGAGCAATGACAATGCGTGCCCTATCTGAAAGGGTGTGTGACTCTTCCACATTGTTGTTTTTACATGCACCGCTTAAATGAAAAACGACAAACTTAAATAGATGAGATCTTTTATTAACAATAACTATATCATATTAGGCAATAATATATGCACAATACATCATTCAACATTTCATTAACAAAATAACATTAAATAAATTTAATTACATTATTAATTTAAATATACATTAGTTTAATATTATACTTTTCATATAGTTTATTTCAACTTTTCATATACTTTTCATATTATTAAGCCAACTTTTGTCAAACAAAGGATTATGTACTGAAAACCATACATGTTTGTACAGTGATCAAACAAAATTGAAATCACTTGCAGTGTATAAATGTGCAGCCAACTATTGCGCACATCTAGCGAAAGATATTCGTTGGTGCTACTGCTTATTGGGGAGCGATATGTGCTGCAAATTTTAGCCCACACCTAACATCTTCGGTAAATCAACATGTTGGATTCATGTGCATGCAGAACAATTGCTTCTACTATATACCTAAATCTTTACTTCTCATAATTTATGCGAGAGCACATGCACATTGTGAAATGTGAGAGAGCACACGACTGAAATTTGTGACGGCAATTGCTTAAAACGGAAAGACGAAATGTAATAGAAATGTTCTGTAATTTGAGCTGCAAACTTATGAGCACACCTAACAACTATAGCAGCTAAGAAGAAAAAATTGATTGAGACATAGACAATTACATTTAATTGTTTAATATATATATATATATATATATATATATATATATATATATATATAGCAATTACATTTAATATGTAATTGTTGTTGACATGACAATACATAATTCTAATTTAATCTTTATATATATATATATATATATATATATATATATATGCAATAAGTAATATTCATTCTCAATGTAAAGATATTTGAAGAATTTATATATTTTATTTAACATTTTGCAAATAATGTTAAGGTATGCGTCGTACACCTCCTCACCTTAGAACAGTCGTCACTGCTATTGAGTTCATAGTAGCACCTATCGGCAATAGTAATTCTTTGTCTGATCTCCAGCCTGAGATTGTTGTTATTCGTTAAAGCAGTGTCAAGTAAATTAAAACTTATCTTCGAATCTATTGACAGATTCGAAAGTATATTTATATGTCTATATATATATATAGATTCCAAATGGACCATGATGGTATGACTCTTTGTATAACATGTATGGTTAAAAGTTCATTTGTCATGTGACTTTCTGTATATCATGATCCTATGACATAACAAGCTCTCTTTATCATTGTATGTAGTTAAAAAACTACATTAATATAATTTAAACTGATGGAAAATATTTCGTGTACTCTATGTAAATGGTTTGAAGATTTTTAATCATATTCAAATATTCTGACATATTTTCATATTTAAGCACACAATTTCACCGAATACAATCATTTATGTGTATAAAAAATAGAACTTAAAAAAATTTGATATCCTCACTACTTTTTTCTTTGTGACTATCACAGCGATTCTTATCTGCAATGCGTGGCAGCTCTACCATTTCATCCCGATTGATGTGTATTAAATTCTGTGACAATGTGACTTACTATTTTATTCTTAACGTTAAATTGTCAACATCAGATACGAAAAAAGTCAAATACCTATACAAAAATAAAAAAATATATCAACAACATCAGAAGAGCATCAAAAGAATCAAAAGAAAAACGCTATCAACAACAGTTACAGCAGCAACAACAGCAACAACAACAACAACATGGCAATGTAAATAACTTCCGCTCATAAATTTGCAATAAATTTTATGCAGCTCGCGCGAAATGAACGAATAAAAGACGGACATTCAACGGACGGATGCAAGGACATATAAGCGGAAAGCACTAGGCAATTGTAGCATAAAAATCACAACAACAACGAGAGCAACAACCATTACAACAATGACAACGACAACAACGGCCAGCACATCGTATGTGGAAAGCCAAGCATTTACACAAAAATTACACGACAGGATATGCGGAAACTGTTGTACGATTGTTGGAGCTCACCAGCATAAATACTGCATCACAGACTCAATGCCGTATTTTTGTGTAATTATGTTCCTCTCTCTCTCTCTTTCTCTCTCTCTTTCTCTCTCTCTCTCTGCGTGTGGCTGGATTGAGATTTGTGAGTGCCTTGCTTGGAATGGTTTTGCTATCATGATTTTCGCTGCCGTTTAATTTGAAATTTTCATTGTTGTTGTTGTCGATGTCGTTGTTGTTGTTGTCATTTGACATACATATATAAACACAATAATTTGCATATTTCCCAAACATCAGTAAATGGTCTTCAAAAACTACTTAAAAGTGTCAGCAAAGTTGATTGCATCACTTTTAAACCAATTTTTTCTATTTAATTGCCTGAAATGAATGATAATTAATTTTATATTTTAAAAACTTTTAATAATAAAAAAAAAGTTTCCAAGATATTTGGCCACAAAATTTTAAAACTTTAGATATGTATTCCCTAAATCCATTTTCAACATTTATCAAGACAGAGAGTGTTAAAGAAAGATCTGCCATAAAAACAAATATAATAGGGTTTAGTTATACGGATAGAATAGTATCGATCACAGTCCCGAAAGCAAACAGCGACCCATTCATCAGTTTTGGGTTTAAATAATTAAAAAAATGTTGGAAAATTAAAACACCAAAATCATCACCATCGTTCTTAGCGTGACAGTCTGGTATAAAATAGTACTTTCTCTGTGAACATAGTCTTTATCTTATACCTTTGTAGCCGTTCATTATTTGCATGATGTATTTGATTATATATCTTAAAATCTAGAGTTCTCGTTGTCACGACTTTTCAGTGTTTAGATTTTTTATTAATAACGTTAATAAAGAGGTTTTTTCAAACAGTGGTGAACTACAACAACAAAAAATTATTTTATATTATTTTAATTATTTAAATTTTTGGCTGACCACACAGCTGTTTCGAGCATTGCCAAATACCCACCATCAGTGGTCTTATAAATTTTATATTTAATTATATAATTTTGTAGAGCAAATACCAGGAATCGAAGTCGTGCCCTGACAAATTTGAAGCTCAGAGTCAGCGCACCTTAACCAACTGTCCGTACTTGACTTTTGTGTTCGCATATTTTTCTGGAGTTTTGTTACTATTACTATGAAAGTGTTTATTAACAACTTTACTTGCTGTGTTTATATTAGAACGAAATCATAAACCAGCTGTAGAAAAATTGAATTATTTAGTTATATTTTTATTATTCATTGTTAAATTTCAATACTATTCGGTTTGTAGAGACATTTTTTACTGCATGATTTATTCTTTCCTATGTATAGATCCTAATCTAGGAACGTAATGCTGAGAAAGTCATGCCAATGTTACTCCACTAGTCGCACGGGTGACTTAAGAAAATAAAAGATTTTATTAAAATTTTTAACATGCAGATATTTTAATCACATAACATGGTTTTGTATTTAAAAAATTAGAATTTACAAAATATATCCAATTTTCTGTCTACATTCGTTCTCAGTTTGTTCCTTAACGCTGAGCACAACTTCAAGACATTCAAATGCGTTTACCTTCGTACCTTCGATAAACAAATGTTGAGTTCTTTGATTATTTGGGTGCATCATGTATTTAATTTTATAATGTTTTATTCTGAGTCCCAAGTTTAAGTTTTTATACAATATTTCTAGAACATGTCTGCTCCGGCATATTCTTGGATATTATTATTGAAAATACATTTTTAAGTGTCAAATACTGACAAAAGAGAGGCGAGTTAAGAAAAACCTTCCTGTTTACTTAATCTAATTAAGAATAATAAATTTTAATTATATATAATAACAATATGTATGTTTTTACTTATGCTTATATCTAAAATCATATGCACATTCACATGATGTTATCGTAGTTAATTATTATCGTAGTCATTTAATTAAATATTATATAAACTATTACAAATTCAATTATTATTAGATTATAAAGTGAATTAAGTGACAATAACATCACTACATTTAATTCATATACCAAATTAAAAATTGTAATATTAAGTCTCGAGTTATAATTGTGGATTGACAGATAAACATATACTATAGATAAGAATATAACAAGAAAATAAAAATATGAATTTTATATCAGTATCAAGTTGAAGAAATATTTCTAAAAGTGTCTGTCAGTTCACCACGTACGCTCTGTTTGTAAGCGAATGTGAGCTTAAGTCACATACTCTGTGATTGTCTGGACTATGAAGAGATTAGTGTGCTGGGAAATCTCATTCCCAACTGTTTTAGGATATTCTCAACGGCTAACATTCTGACTTTTATTCGGTAGGCTGATGATAAGTTAAGATCTTCTGTTCAGTTATGGTCTTCTGTTCAGTTGGGGTCCTCTATTCAGCTGGAGTCTTCTAATTAGTTAGGATTCTCAGTTCAATTAGGCTCTTATCTACAGTTAGAGACTTATGTTCAGTGACTGACTTCTGTTTAGTAAGAGTCTTTTATTCAGTTATGTTCGGAAGAAACATAAAAGACTTACCATGGTTGTAGTGCTCAGTTCCACGGGGAGTCAGTATTTCGTATATTTTCTTTTGTATTCTAAGGTCGACCACTTTCCTTATTGAACTCATTTGGCACAGTGTCATTTTAATTTTTTCTAAAAAAAACCCTTTTTATCGCTGAAATTAAAGCATTCTATGGACTTAGGAACCATTCAAAACGGTTGAACCTAAATTGCTAAGGGCGACCTAAAATACACATTTGACAGGCAGAAGGGAATTAACGGCTATGATTACTTTTGACATTGCCAAAGCATTTAACAAAGTCTGATAGTTAAAATGTCTTGCAGTGGTGTCCCAGTTGGGCTAATCAAAAGCGCTAAGAACAGAAAGTTGATTTACAGTCAGATATTTAGACCGGCACTTCCCTACTGGTGTGTCGCATACAGCAAAGCTGCTAACTCTACTCATCAGAAGCTGCAAGTCAGGCTCTCAGAAGACTCTTCAAAGTGCCATGTTACATCCGCACGAATGCCATGCTAAGAGACCTCAGAATAGACTCGGTCTAAAAATATATAAAGGTCGGAACCCTGAAGCTATACGCAAAAACTGACAGGCTGCCCTACATAGCACTATCTAATCTCAAAGCAGGCACTAACAGTATGGGGCGGTATGCAGATCTTAAATCAGTTATCGAATAAATAGCAAAGCTGCGAGAAATACATAAATTAGTCAAAGAGAAGGGAGAGACCCCCAACTAAGAAAGAGTGAAAATGCCCAGTTGCACTAACTCGGAAAGACCTCAACATACAACAGGCTTCTGAGCCACGCAAATAGATGTAACACGTCAGAAAGGACTCACTCTTTTGCATTAAATAATTCAGTTTCGCCAACAAAAACATTTGTGCTTTTCTTTTATTATAAAAAATCGTGTTTGCTTTAGAACGCACCTTGTATAAAACAAAGTAGTAATTACCCAATTGTATTTGAGTAATTTGGGTAAAAAGGTGTGAATAACTCACTGTCGTATAACACACATGTGAGCACATCACTCTTTATTTTAGTATGTTTTGCAAATATTTATTCACAGTTTTTTCGACATACATCGAATAATGTTCTCGAATGTATTTATTAAAACTGAAAAATTACAAAATAAATAAAACACATAGTTTTGCAAATAAATGAAGGTTAAAGAATGTGAACACACTGAAGGGAAGTAAGCCAGACTGGCAGATATTCACTATCGGAACAATCACGCTTAATTAAAACAATTTATAAAAGTCGCTAGACGCACATGTTTCCTTTGGGTTGTTAAATGCCTTGCGGTGAAAAATTACTGCATCTGCAATATGTGGCTCTTGGGTGCTGGTGTCGTATTGGAAATAAGCTTAGTCAATTCTAAATATCCTATTGTATTAAACTACGCAGTCATCCTTAGTGTCGGTTGATAATTTTCAATCCTTCTTCTAAATATATTTCAAAAAACATCTTTAAGAATTTTACATGTGTTTTAATAAGAAAATTTGCATTGTCGTGAAAAGTGACTGATAGAATAATGGTTTAAGCTCTCTCTGGATGTACATTGGGCACTCAAAGAACGTTAAGAATAGAGTTAAATATATACACAACCTTTTATTTAAAACAAGTTGGAATGATTTTATTTTTTCCAAAAGAGAACAAATTTTATAAATAAATGAAAATTAAAACAAATTCAGAATAATTTTCATCATTTAACATATTTCAACTTCAGTCTATTTTTAATTTTTTTTCAAATATCACAAATTAATTTTCGTTACTACAATCGATTTTCTGAATTTCAAGCAAGAGCATCTTTTTCTTTATAACATAAGGGTATCTCTAATTATAGATGTCTGCAAAGCAAAATTGATTTTTTAAGGCATTTACCTTTCTATTTATTTTTTGCCTTTATTGTTTAACAAATTAGCAAAGTAAATTAATAGCATTCGTAGGTCTCGAGGGGTATAATTTGAATATAAGGATTGACTTAAATTTCTATTTAAAATAAATAGATTAATAAAAAATGGATTAAAAAGAAATGCTCTTTAAATGAAATTTTTAAAAAATAGATATTGTTGTTCCATCAATTTCTAATTGACTCAGATAAAGAGAAAACAACAATTTGTTATAATATATAATATGGACTTGATGCTATTGAAAACTGTTTCAACATTTAAGATTGTTAGTAAGATATAAGATCTTGAATAATGATAGCAGTAGCTGCTTTTGCGATCTCCTTATCAACACCAACAGTAAAATACTATGAAAGTCA